CCCCCCGCCAAGGTTTTTTGTCTTTAAGTAATCTCTTCACCCAATGTGGGGCTTGAACTTAACAACCCTGAAACCCCAAGATCAAGAGTCACATGCTTTACTGACAGAGACAGCCAGATGCCCACTCCCCTTTTTTTCTTTACATTCTTTAAATTTGTACTGTCTTTGAAATCCTTTGTGTGCTTCATCTGTATATCTCAGTTGAGACAAGCCACATTTTTTCTTTCTTTTTTTTCTTTAACTAGTTAATTATTTTGAGAGAGAGAGAGAGAGAAAGAGAGAGAGAGAGAGGAGATGTGTGCGCAGTGGAGGGGCAGAGAGAAGGAGAGAGAGAATCCCAAACAGGCTCCACACTAAGTGATGTGGGCTCGATCCCATGACTGTGAGATTCATGACCTGAGCCAAAATCAGGAGTTGGATGCCCAACCAACAGCTACCCAGGTGCCCTCTTTCTTTTTTTTTTTTTAAGTAGGCTACATGCCCAGTGTTGGGCTTGACCTCATGACCCTGAGATCAAGAGTCACATACCCTACCTGCTGAGCCAGCCAGGTACCCCCTCGTCTTTATTCTTTAAGATATTTTTTTTTCTTGCTGACTCTTTGTCAGTTGTATCGTCATTTTACTGTCATCAATGATGAAGAAGCTGTTTGCCACTTATGTTAATGCAGCATTATAAGAAATTAACTGAATTGTGAGGTTTTATAATAAGAGGTAAATAGTGAAGACGGAGACATTTTCATTACTGTGTTTATCAGATGAGGGATGCAGATACTAGAAGAAACTAGATGTTGAATAACTAAGGTGGACAGACCTGACCATTCTGTGCCACACCTCACACTGTCAGTGCTGGAAGGAACCTGAAGAACTAACACCACTACACTAGACCTATTATTTCATCTCATGGTTTTTAATGACTTTACAGGCAGAAACAAGATATAAAATGTGTTAACCTACCTGTTAGCTTGTTACAACTTGTCACAACTTGGCATGGAAATAATTTGTTTAGTTCTTCTTACATTATATTACGAACTAGCCAGGTATCTCACCAACCAGTTGAGCATTGTGTAATTCTTAAAAAAATGTTTAATATGTTCTATTTAGGTTACGGAGTTGTTTATGGATAATAAAAATGAACTTGACCAATGTAAATCTGACCTGCAAAATAAGACACAGGAACTTGAAACCACTCAAAAACATTTACAAGAAACGAAATTACAACTTGTTGAAGAAGAGTATATTACATCAGCTTTGGAAAGTACTGAGGAGAAACTTCATGATGCTGCCAGCAGGGTTTGTCCTTTGTTTTGATTTATACTTGTGTTCAAGAAATTAGAGAATGGGTAGAAGTGACTTTGTTTGCTTAAGCATTAATTATGAAGTTCTATTTATTCACTCCAAGTGACATTTCTGTCAATTTAAAGAACACTGTTTTATTATTTCATCTGAATTTTCCTCACTAGAGTTGCTGACTTAACAAAAAACATTCCTGAAGTTTTGCAAATAGAGAATGATTTTAATATACTTTGAAGACATTTAGAATAATGAGGTGATACTTTTCCCTTTAGTCATGATTGAAACTAATCAGTCATAAAGAATTTAGCACCTTCTAATGATGGGAGATGTTGAAAGTATTTAATTTTTTATTAGGTGCACGTTAGAGGAAATAGTAACACATAAGAGAAAAAAAATTGTGAGGGAGCATAATTACTGTATTAGGTTGGCAAAATCCCTTTTCCTTGCCTAGGTTGCTAGGTGAGGGGAAATTCTTGGGCAACTGGATAAATTAGTGTGAATTGAAAATGTATTCTGAGGGGCGCCTGGGTGGCGCAGTCGGTTAAGCGTCCGACTTCAGCCAGGTCACGATCTCGCGGTCCGTGAGTTCGAGCCCCGCGTCAGGCTCTGGGCTGATGGCTCGGAGCCTGGAGCCTGTTTCCGATTCTGTGTCTCCCTCTCTCTCTGCCCCTCCCCCGTTCATGCTCTGTCTCTCTCTGTCGCAAAAATAAATAAACGTTGAAAAAAAAATTAAAAAAAAAATGTATTCTGATACAAATGTCTAAAACTTACTGAGTTCTTTTTTTTTTTTTTTTTTAAAGTTTATTTATTTTGAGAGAGAGAGAGTACCACCTGGGGAAGGGCAGAGAGAAAGAGAGAGAGAGAGAAAGAGAGAATCCCAAGCAGGCTCTTTGCTGTCAGTGTGGAGCCCGACACAGGTCTCGTTCCCACTAACCATGGGATCATGACCTGAGCTGAAATCAAGAGTTGGATGCTTAACTGACTGAGCCACCCACACGCCTCAAAATTTACTAGTTCTTGTCAGGAGAAATCCGTATGTAGCACAGATATTTTCATTAGTCTGCTTTTGTGATACCCATCTTAATCAACATTTATTTTTAAAAATCATATGTAGTTGCTTACCACAGTTGAAGAAACTACAAAAGATGTATCTGGTCTCCATTCAAAACTGGATCGTAAGAAGGCAATTGATCAGCACAATGCAGAAGCTCAGGATGTTTTTGGCAAAAACCTGAATGGTCTGTTTAACAGGATGGAAGAATTAATTAAGGATAGCAGCTCAAAACAAAAGGTCATGCTAGAAGTTCACAAGACTTTGTTTGGTAAGTTTAAGCGTTTTTTTAAAATGTTTTTAAAAAATGTTTATTTACTTTTGAGTAAATAAACTGAGTAAAACTGATCATTTACTATCATAAGAAACTGGGGTGACCATGTCAGTAGTCCCTCCGGTGCACACACTGGCTGCTCAAACTAGGGAACAGTGCTTTTCCCGCCTTTGAATTAAAACAAGTCTTAGTTGTTTTTGTCTATTTTTTATAAAGTAAGTTTTAACCATACCCATTGTTGCTATCTTTATTTAGGAAAAAACTCCTAAGTATTAGTTTATTTTATATGAAAATATTATCTTCGCTATAGAAAATTCGTGAGATACAGAAATGTAAAAATTTGTAAAAATCACTTAGAGTCTAGTCACTCTAAGCCAACCACTCTAAGTTTGGCTTATTGATTTGTAGTTTCTCTTTCATAACCTCTTCCACTTACTGTAGTACTATGATTACCTATAGCTAGAGATCAGAATAATTCTTGGCTTACTGTGAACTATAGTGATGGCTCTGCTACACTGACAAGCATATCGAGTGCTTGCAGAGTACTGTAGAACATATATAATTTCTATTTGATTAGATTTCCTAGCTTAGGTAGTGAACCATTTATTTTAAGCTTATTTGCTATTACAAATTTCCACAGCAAGTATATAAGTTTAGAAACCTCTTTGAAGTGGTTCTAACTGTATAAATATATTTATGTCAAAGTTTGTATCTTTTTTCTTTTTGGTATAGGTAACCTGCTGTCTTCCAGTGTCTCTGCATTAGACACAATTACTACAACAGCACTGGGATCGCTCACATCTGTTCCAGAAAATGTGTCTACACGTGTTTCTCAGATTTCTAATATGATATTAAAAGAACAATCATTAGCAGCAGAAAGTAAAACTGTACTTCAAACATTGATTGTTAGTAAATCTCTTAAATTATTTTTGAAGGGTTGCTTTGCAAAGTCTTCAAAAACAATGTTAACTGCTCTTTCATTTTAAGCTTTATCAGAAATGGTGATAAACATAGCACTTTAAGAGTAGGTTTATATTTTTAAAGACAATATAAAGACCGTTTTTTTTTTTCTCCCAGAAGATTAATTTCCAAATGTATATAACCAACCTTTAAGACTTTTTTCACTTATATCTTGTAACATTAAGAGCAGGAGTTAATATGCCCAATAGCTAGAGAGGGCAGGTTTAGCCCCCGATGAATTCAAGGGACCCATGGGTTGTTAGTTGGCTCAGAAATTGGTAAGTCATCCTTTCCTCAAGGGTTCTGCAGTGGTCGTGCTGATGTTACAACTGACCCAACCAGAGGGGATAGAAGATGGTTAATTTAAAACTACACTAATACAGAAAAGTGCAAGAAAAACAACCCCTAGAATTCTAGGAACATATATGACAATTTATGGGATCAGATCTGTGTGATCAAGCCCTTCTGGGCCTTAACTGTAAGACTCTTTTTTGTAGTTCTATAGAAGCCACTCATCTAATTACACTTAGTATTACCTCTTTCATTGCTGATTTTTTTTTTTTTTAATTTTTTTTTCAACGTTTTTATTTATTTTTGGGACAGAGAGAGACAGAGCATGAACGGGGGAGGGGCAAGAGAGAGAGGGAGACACAGAATCGGAAACAGGCTCCAGGCTCTGAGCCATCAGCCCAGAGCCTGACGCGGGGCTCGAACTCACGGACCGCGAGATCGTGACCTGGCTGAAGTCGGGTGCTTAACTGACTGCGCCACCCAGGCGCCCCATTCATAGCTGATTTGAATAATACTCTTTATTTTGTAATTGTATGATTTACGTATGAAGTTCTTGGCCATATCACTTACTTGGTTTTCTTCTTGGTGCAGGCTCTCTGCCTCCGTTTTAGAGTCTAACCTTATTATTATTGTTATTATTATTTTAAATCAGAGGAAATGCTTTAATCAACATCTTCCAAATTTAAGCAGTACTAAAACGATTAAAGAAACATAAACGAAATTAAAATATGATATTCAAAAGGAAACCAGAATTAATCTACTCTTGACATTCTCCTTTTATTTCAGATGTGGGATGGAGAATGCAATTAATCTGCATTTCCAATTGCTGCCAATTAGTGAATTTCCTAGGTGTTTAAGCTACTAAATAAATCACCTAAGACTTATTATATAATTTACAATGTAGTGATGATAGCTTTCTCTTCATTATTAATTTATTAAATGGAGTCTAACCATATTTGTTGAACATTTTCCAAGTAAATAACTACAAATGTTAGCTGACACTCTGCCTAGATTCAGTGCTTATATGACACTATTTGATATATTTCTTCATTCACCCAATTTGACAAAGTTAATAGATGCTCAGTTGGTACTAACTTTTGGGAAATTGATTCATGAACTAAATGCTAAGACTGTGTATTGATGTCTTCCTACCACGTTATATATGACTTTGTAAGCATTGCTTGAGTCAGCAGAGATGATGGCTGCTCCTGCAGAATGAGTTGGAATGAGTGTCATAGCTTTTCTTTCCAAAAAAATACCAGTAGCCTTTTTTTTTTTTTTAAGCATTCACTGATTATTTCTATTGTAGCTCCTCACCCTGCCCAAGTGAAGGGAACTTAGGTTCCTTTTTGTAAAAGGGGATTTTTTTTCCTTTTTGTAAAAATCCTCAGTCTATGGTATATTCTCAACTTTCCATATACCTTGACAAGAACAAAAACTTTAATGAGTTCTTCAGATATGATAGCATGTAAGTCACCAAGTCTTCAAAGTTAATTAAATACCTCCAGCTGAAAGTCTGCCTTTGAAGGCTATTTGGTCTCTGCGTTTTTGACTAGTAACCTAAGCTTATTTGAAATTTATTTTGTTAAAATGTATTTGCTTTTTTTTTTTTTTTTAAATTCTTTATTTGCAATGCTGAAATCCTTAGAAAAGGATGGTCATTTTCCCCTCTTCTGAATTCTTTGGACCTCTGTTGCGTTAGACTGTTAAGAATCTATTGTATGCTACATGACTATTTTCTTAATTACTATAGGTAGGAATAAGTAACTTATGATGAATATAAACTCTAGAAACAAATAGGCTCTGTAGGCTATAAAGATTAGACAATGGAAAGTTAGAATTTTATTCTGCATGTGTTAACAAAGTATTTAAGATACTATCATTAACCATTCAGGTTTATGAAAGTGAAAATATTTTTTTAAAAGACTTGTTTATTTTTAAAACCAGGATGTACTTAAGACTGACCTTCTAAGTTCACTGGAAACAACTTTATCCCCCACTGTGGTGTCTATACTGAAAATCAACAGTCAACTGAAGCATATTTTCAAGACTTCATTGACAGTGGCTAGTAAGGTAGCAAATGTTATGTTCTTAATTTCTCAAAATCAAATTGTTGTTTAAGAAAGAAATTCCATGTGTCTGTGACCACACTTGTCTACAATGCAAAAGCCATGGGTTGTGAGTTGGAATCTGGAGGAGAGAAGAGATAGGATGCTCGCTGCCATTGATGTGATCAGCAGAATCATGGCTAAAAAAAATGAGAGAGAATGATCTTCAGGATAAGTATTTGTTTACATAGTAGCATGTATAGCATGCTATCATGGGTGGGTAAAGAAGACATGCATATTCATGTATACATGCCTATGCCTAAATATGCATAAAATATCGCTGAAAGTGTTTAGCAGTCATCTCTTGGAGGTAAGAGTGGCATTGAGGTTCCAGGGGCTAGAGAGGAAAGACTTCTCTCTGCATACTGTTTTCTACCTTTTCTATTTCGAATGTGTTCCAAAAAAGACAAACTAAAACAAAAAAAATTTTAATTAAAAGAAACTAACTTTTTCCTTCAAAGATAGAAGATCAGAAAAAGGAAATGGATGGCTTTCTCAGTATGCTGTGTAACAGTCTACATGAACTACAAGAAAATACGATTTCATCCTTGGCTGAATCACAGAAGCTATGTGAAAACTTAACTGAAGACCTGAAGACAATAAAAAAAATCCATTCACAGGTATCTCATTTAGGTGATTTGGGGAGCATAAAAAGGAAGTTTTATAATCTTTAACTTGATAATCCTTGTTATGTAATCTGAATGCTGTAGAACTAATTTAAGAAATTTGAAAATACCATAGCCGCTCTTCCTTATAACAATAGTTAATACAAAATAATTAAGAATACTTTTCTTGATCAGTTAGTATTTCAGGATTTGCTACATTTAGAACCCTATACTAAAGCACAGTAAAACAAATAAGATAATCCCTTTATCACACCAAGATGAAAGATGAAACTATAGAAACATACATTTGGGGGTACAATTAGAAGGAAATGGTTACAATATTTGCAGTGAACATGTATCTGTAGCAAACCTGATAAATTGTTTTTTTCTATGGTAACATGGATGGTTATTCTTTTTCATAAATTATGCTGTGCTGTATCTTGCTATTTCTGTCTCATTGATGTCAGACATTTGAATTGTAAATTAATACAGTTCTTTTTATTGATTAATTATAAATATAATTCATGACTTAACCTTCTTCCATGTAAATTGTTCTTCAGTGCATGAGGTTTTAAACCAAAAGCAAACCTCCAAACCAAGGAAGTCATAATCTCTGAAGATGAGATACAGGGAAAACAACTCCTGATATTCCTGAGGCCTGAGTAATGAGTGTGTAAAGTTTTATTAAATGAGGCCAGTTATTACAAGACAGAACTCTTTGGTCAATAAAACTATTGATATGACTTAGTGAGTAGTAATGGTTTCCTTTTCTTTGGAAAGTGAGGGAGAGGAAATTCATATCCATGTCACCCAAAAGGAGAAAAGAAACACATCCAAGATTTTTAGGCAAGAGTTAAAGCAACTTCAAAGTAAGATTATTCGTTTCCCTGATTGATAAACATGAAACTTTTTGGAGAAAGGATTAACGTCAGAAATTAGTGAAAGTAATAGTTAACATTTATTGAGCCACTCACTATGTGTTTATTCAGTACAGATACAGGTTCTGTTATTAGTCTAGTTTTCTAATGAGGAAACCAAGGGCTTGAAAGCATGAAAAGTATTTAGGTCCTCTGATAGCGGTAGTGGTGATTGTAGTACCTGAAAGGCATCTACCTTTTTTTTTTCTTTTTTAAGTTTATTTATTTTGACAGAACGTGAGTGGGTAGGGACGGAGAGAGAGTGGGAGAGAGAATCCCAAGCAGGCTCCACACTGTCAGAGCAGAACCCAACACCGGGCTCAAACGCATGAACTGTGAGATCATGACCTGAGCCAAAATCAAGAGTCAGCTGCTTAACCAGCTGAGCCACCCAGGTGCCCCTGAAAGGCATCCACTTTTGAGTGGCTCTTCTGTGTGTTTCTAGAACACAGTCTTGCAATTTGAAATTGTAGCAGTTTCTCATTATGTCTGCATCAACTTGTCTAACTTTTTAGGCTTGTGTTCTAAGGTACATCAGCTTTTTATATATTAGCTGTTTTGAAATGTTTAAAATTAATATGCAATGGTTTAAACAGAAACAAAATACCTATGATCCAAAAAGTATTTTAGCATGAATGGTTTCACTTCTCTGGCTTTAAGGAAGTTAAATTTACTAAGTGAGCTATTTCTCAGGTATTCTAGAACTTGAGGTTAGCACTAACAACAATTATGTAAAACTCTGAACACCTATTTACATGCAGATAATTCTGATATATCTGCATTTTCCTCTACTTTGAGACTAATACAAATACTGACAGACTTCATTCATAATCAGTATTGGGTATGTGCTGTCAGCTGATGTGTTATTTAGAGATGTTGGCCAACTAATGGACCGAACAGTGAATAAGATTGCTGGGCGCATGTTCAGCTCTTTCTGGGTCTTTAGTGTAGCTTCTTCATATTGTATATTTAAGTCCCTGTCATGTTGTGTGCCTTATAAGAGCTTGCTTTTAAAGATGTCAGGTATGAGAAAAGTTAAAATTACACTTTATGAATATGATCCGGCCAGATTCTGTAAAATATTTAAGCTTCAGTAATTAACACTATTTTTGGACTGCTTGACCCATTAGATGATCAGCATTACTTTTCCCTTCTAGTAGTGTTACCAGTTTAGAAGCAACTGGGTACTGTATATCTGTCAAAGTGCTTCTCATAACATAATGTGACATCTTGGTGTGTTTGCTTAGTTCTGAGGTACACTGAAGGTAACTTGCTACGAATTAATAGTTAAAATAGCAAAGTTTGCTAATTATTTACTTTTTGAAAAATCCCTTTAATATTATCCTTTTAATATCACTTCTGCTGTTTTCCTCTATGGGTGAGAGATGGAATTAAAGATCTCTTGTCAGGAATTTGTATAATTCTCATCTATGGGAAAAATACTTCCATGTAGTATGGAAGAAAAGTTCAGGTGTCGTAACTTCAACCTCTTCCTTTCCCACACCTTTCTTACAGGAACTTGACCAGCTAATCAGTCTTTGGGCAGAGAGATTCTGTGCCTTGGAGGAAAAGTGTGAAAACATCCAGAAACCACTCAGTAGTGTCCAAGAAAATACAGAACAGTAAGCAGTTTTTAATTCTTTTTATCTCTTCTCTGCCTAAAATTATTTCAGTATAGAAGGCTTCAAACAGTACAGATCTTATCAACCCAGTTTCTCATTTCTAACATTTTATTGTTTGCTTTCTCATTCTCATTCCCTCTCTCACTTCCCCACCTCCCTGTGATATTGTATATAGAGAGATCATTTCTGAACTAGCTATGCATAGTTTGCAGCCATGATGCTCACTGTCCCCTAAATACTTCAGTCTGTATTCCTAAAAATAAGGACATTCTCTTACATAATCGTAACACAATTTTTTTAAGCAGAAAATTAATATCAGTAATTCCTATTACCTAATATACAGACCTAATTCAAATTCTGCCAGTTGTCTCACTGATGTTCTCTGTAGGAAAAGAAAAAGATTTTCCTTCTGCTCCAGGATTTAATCTAGGATCACACATTGCATTTGATTGTCATATTTCCTTTAGTCTGAGTAGTTCCTTAGTCTTTGTCTATAACCTTTTTTCAACAGGGTAGAATATTTGTCTAGTACGGTGTCCCTCAGTTGAGATTGGCCTTCAGGACTAGTTGTAGTTGTCAAGAACAACACAGTTGTGATTTCCTCGTAGTTGTTTTCAAGATAGTTTTCCTTATCTTTAGTCTTTGGAAGTTTGATTATATATTTCTTTGAGTTTATCCTGTCTGGATTTTCTCAGCTTCTTAAATCTGTATACCCTTATGCCTTTCATCAATTGTGGAAATTTTTATCCTTTATTTGAACGTTTTCAGCTCCATATTCTTTCTCCTCTGCTTCTAGGAGTTTGGTGACACACATGTTAGATCTTTTATTATGGTCTCATAGGTCTCCGAGGCTATAGATATTTTCTTTGTTGTTCAGATTGAGTAAATTTTATGAACTGTCTTCATGTTCCTCTGTCATCTTTAACCTATTGTTGAATCCATTCAGTGAAGTGTTTCATTTCAGTTATTAGAGTTTTCAGTTTTAAAATTTTCATTTGCTTCTTTTTTAATCTCTTCTTTTCTTTGCCTAGATTTTAATTCTTTTTTTTTCTCCAAAAGTGTTTTAGTTGCTCATTGAAACATTTTTGTAAGGCTGCTGTAAAATCCTTAACAGATTATTCCAACATCTGAATTATCTCATATCTCAGTGTTGGCACCTGTTGTCTTTTCTCATTCAAGTTGTGATTTTCCAGAATGGTTTTGATTGTATCTTGAACATTTTTGGTTTATGTTAGGAGATTCAGAATCCTATTTAAGCCATCTTCTTTAGCAGGCATTTACTCTGTTTAGGTTTAGTGTGAAGGTCCTGGCCCATTTTTGTGAGCTCTGGTTCCAATGACAATTTTATTTTTGGAGTTCTTGCAGTGTTACTCTGATAATGCTTCATTTGGTGCTACCCATATGAGAACAATTTGTTCTGCTTTTGATGGATGAAGTGTTCTATACAGGTCAGTTAGGTCAAGTTGATTGATAGTATTTTTTGAGTCATCCGTATCCTTACTGAGTTTCTGCCTATTCTATCAATTGCTAAGAGAGGGTGTTGAAATCTGACTACAATTTTAGATTTGTCTATTTCTCATCAGTTTTATCAGTTTTTGCTGCACATATGTGATGTTCTGTTGTTAGTTGCATACACATTTAAGGTTGATATGTCTTGGAGAATTGACCACTTTATCATTATATAATATCCCCTTTTATCCCTGATCATCTTCCTTGTTCTGAAGTCTACTTTGTCTGAAACATATTAGTACTTAGCTTTCCTTTTATTGCTATTTGCATATAATGTATCTCTAATCCCTTTACTTTTGGGCTAAGTCTTTAGATTTAAAGTGGATTTCTTGGAGATAACGCATAATTGGGTATTGCTTTTTCATCACATTTAACAATGTATCACCTTTAACTGGTGTGTTTAGGCCATTCTCATTTGAAGTATTGATATAGTTGAATTAAAATCTGCCATATTGCTGGTTTCTTTTTGTTGCGTCATTTGTGCTTTGTTTCCTTTTATTCCTTTCCAAATTTAAGTTGAGGATTTTTACATTTTCATTGTATCTCTTCCATTGACTTGTCATTTATACTTTTAAAATTACCTTTTTTTTTTTTTTTAATTTTTTTTTTCAACGTTTATTTATTTTTGGGACAGAGAGAGACAGAGCATGAATGGGGGAGGGGTAGAGAGAGAGGGAGACATAGAATCGGAAACAGGCTCCAGGCTCTGAGCCATCAGCCCAGAGCCTGACGCGGGGCTCGAACTCACAGACCGCGAGATCGTGACCTGGCTGAAGCCGGACGCTTAACCGACTGCGCCACCCAGGCGCCCCTAAAATTACCTTTTTAATTAGTTTTTCTAAGATGAATAATACACATTTTTAAGTAATGTTAATCCATCTTCATATAATTTACTGTTTCAGGTGTAATCAAAGGACCTTATAGGATACATTCCCAATTTCTCCTCATCTCATATTCATTGTTTTCATATATTTTGCTTCTGTATATGCTATATACACCCTGTACACTGTTATGCTGATTGCTTTATCTTTTTTTTTTTTTTTTTTAAGTAGGCTATACACACAGCATGGAGCCCAGTGTAGGGCTTGAACTCACTACCCTGAGATCAAGACCCGAGCTGAGATCAAGAGTTGGTGCTTAACCAACTGAGCCACCTACGGGTTCCCCAGTTCCCTATTTTCTTTTTTAATGTGGCAACATTATGTTACTTATGTGGCTCACATTATATTCTGTTGAACAGTGCTGTTCTAGCATCTAGCTATCACCTGTTTTACTACCTAACTCCTGTCATGTGTCTTCCAGTTCTGTTGATGATCCTATTCCTTATATCATGTCCCATTCTGAATTCTTCTTTCTAGATTCTAGATCTAGAAAGTTTCCCTACTTTTAATTCCTAGTCTCTAAACTTCAGGACTTCTGGCTTCTTCCATAGCTCTGAAGGGAATACTAGAGTAGGATTGAAATGGGAAGGAAACTATGATATACTCTTTAAGGCCTATGCAAGCCATTTTTCCTGTCTTCCTGACATTTATTCAAAATGTTTTTCAAAGTGTGGTCCAGGAACCATGTAAAAGAATCAGCCAGGAGTAGGGCCCAGGAATCTAGGTGAGGTTTATGTATCCTGAAGTTTGAGACCCACTCAGTGCCTTTGGTATTTATCATGGATTATGGTCACTTATGAATAAATTTCATCTTCCTACCAGGTTGTGATTGCTTGAAGGACTAGATTTGTGTTGATGGTCTCCAGTCTCTTACTTGAATTTCGTTTCCTTTTTCAATCATTTCCATTTAACCTATAGTTGAACTTTGGTTTTCAAAATAGTTACTCCCTCATTTGGTTTCCTTACATGGTGTACCACCTAGTGGTAATAGAGGGTAACTTTCATTCACCAAAGTTTAACTCTGTAGTCCTGTAAGAGGACTTTAGTTTTACACCAAGGTTATGTTGCAGTGTACTGTGTGTGCCAGGTGTATAGTTTGTCACATCCCCATATAATCTTCTTAATTATTAAAAGCCTTATCGTTGACTTTGTTTTGTAACATTTATAATTTTTATGATGTATTTAATGTCATAGGCAAGGCAAAACTGCTTAAGAACAGAGTGCTAGACTGATTGTGGACACTTTAGGGATTAGACTAGAGTCTGTAGGTGATGCCCTTAGGTAACATAATCTATTAGGAGGAATGAAACACATAGATAGATTTTATTTTTAGTATAGTCATCACTCTAAGAGGTACAAAGTAAAGCATTATATCTGGAGGAGAGCTGGGAAGGGTTTTATGAGAAAAGAGACATTTCCAAAGGTCACTTAATGGCAGATACATCAATCTGCTATGAAAAGACACCAGCTAAAGCATCCATTTTCTTTTTTTTAAATTTTTTTTTTTTAAACATTTATTTATTTTTGAGACAGAGAGAGACAGAGCATGAACGGGGGAGGGTCAGAGAGAGAGGGAGACGCAGGATCTGAAACACGCTCCAGGCTCTGAGCAGTCAGCACAGAGCCCGATGCGGGGCTCGAACTCACATACCGCGAGATCGTGACCTGAGCTGAAGTCGGACGCTTAACCGACTGAGCCACCCAGGCGCCCCTAAAGCATCCATTTTCAATATAGAAAATTAATTAAGAACATGGGCTCTGGAGCCAGACTGCCTGGGTTCAGATATGCCATTTTTGAACTGTGTGATCTTGGGTTAGTTATATATCTTTTGAGTCTTAATTTTCCATTTTAAACAATGTTATTCTCTTTTTCTATAGGAAATCTAAGGATATAATCAGCAAAACAACCTCATATAATACACAATTTTGTGCTGATTGTGATGGCTTATCACAGGAACTCAGACATTTTAACCAAGAAGGTACAAAACTGGTTGAAGAGTCTGTGAAACACTGTGATAAACTTAATAGCAGCCTGGAACTAGTATCTCAAGAGACTGAACAGAGATGTGAGGCTCTGAACAAAAGCACACTTTCTTTTTCTGAACAGTGGGTATCTTGCTTAAATATAAGGGAAGAAGAACTTCAGAACTTACTGGAGGTAATAACTTTGTAATTGGAACTTACTTTGGAGAGAATAGTGATAATCAGGAAATTAAATACTCTTGGATAAGAATTGGATTGAAAACAATTATTTTTATTTTTTTAAGGTTTATTTTGAGAGAGGGTGTGCACGGGGGAGGGACAGAGAGGGAGAGAGAGAGAGAACCCCAAACAGTCCCTGCACCGGTAGTGCATAGCCCGATGTGGGGCTCAAACCCACAAACTGTGAGATAATGACCTGAGTCGAAACCAAGAGTTGGGTATTTAACCAACTGAGCCACCCAGGCTCCCCCAGATGATATTTTAAAATAATGAATGGTTAGGGTGCCTGGGTGGCTCATAAGTTAAGAATCTGACTTCGGCTCAGGTCATGATCTCACGGCTTGTGAGTTCAAGCCCCACACTGGGCTCTCTGCTGTCAGCACAGAGCCGGTTTCGAATCTTCTCTCCCCGCCCCCTCTCTCTGCCCTTCCCCCCACTCCTCAAAAAATAAATAAAAACATTAAAAAAAATTAAAATAATGAATTAAAATTTTAAGCATAAATAGTTGGTATGCTTATACAAGATCTAGTATCATGTCCCCCAGAGCTTGAAATTATTTAACATGTATCTGATCTGTCTTGTATCTATCCTTGGTTTTTGACTTATTGGTTCCTTCAGTTAAGGGCACTCTTTGGATATGTAATTCAAACCTGTTATTGCTTTAAGATACTGTTTTGATTGCTCAAAGGATACTTGATAGGTTTGTGTGTTTGCTTGATCCTAATACTTACATGAGCCCTTTGTGGCTTGGTGTTTCTTTCTGTGTCATAAAAGGATTTTACTAATATTCTCAGAAACTGGGTAAAAGGATGTAAGTATTTTAAGCTTTATAAGCTATTTTTACCAAGAGGAATCAGGGCTAATGGAGAAATAGGTGAGTTCAGATTTGAAACCAGAAATATACCAGATAAGCCTAGAGATCCTGTCATACTAGAAAATAAGAGAGCTATTCAAGATTAGTGGGGTTGTATCAAAAAGACATAGGAGTCTACCTGATGACACTTCTTTGTGTAAAGATGGTACAATTTGTGTATCAAAAAGAATAATTGCTATAATAGATTAAAATACATTAAATATATTAAGGCTTATGAATTCATACAAATTTCTTGGGTCTCCTTTGGATCATGCTAGGGAAGCAGTGCATTATTTTGAAAACTGGTAAATAAAGGGAAAGAGTTGAGCATCCATCTCTCTTTCCCAAAAGAATTCTATCTTGGTTTAGCAGGGTAGTGGATGAAGAAAAGGGTTTCATAGAAGAATCCCAGCTAATAAAATGCAGAAGAAATGACAGAATTGGAAAATCACCATTTTGTAATTCTAGTGAGATAACCCTTGTGGACATTAATGACTGCTTATACCTTTTGATGCAAACTGATGGAGAGGAGAACTTTATTTTTTTAATGTTTATTTTTGAGAGAGAGAGAGACAGAGCACGAGTCAGGAAGAGGCAGAGGGTGAGGGAGAGATAGAATCTAAAGCAGGCTCCAGGCTCTGAGCTTTCAGCACGGAGCCTGATGCAGAGCTTGAACCCACAAACTGCGAGATCATGACCTGAGCCGAAGTTGGACACTTAACCGACTGAGCCACCCAGGAGCCCCAGGAGAACTTTATAATTAATAGGGTGACCACATTCAAACTCACGGATAAATCTTTTTTTTTAACCAATTAATCTTTCTTTTTATGTTTATTTATTTTTGAGAGATAGATAGATAGATAGATAGAGAGAAGACAAGACAGGGGAGAGTGAGAAAGGGGAGAGCACAGAATCTAAACGCCTAGACTCAGCTGTCAGCACCGAGACCCCAGCTGCATGGTACTCAAACCACCACAGTGGATCTTGACTGACAAGCCAAAGTCGGATCTTGCCAGATGAAGCCATCAAGAAGGCGCTCATTAATCTTTTCTTAGAATTTATTTTTTTATTTTATTTTATTAAAAAATTTTTTAATTTTATTTATTTATTTTTTTTAATATTTTATTTATTTTGAGACAGAGAGAGCAGAGCACGCGGATGGAAGAGCAGGGAGGGCAGAGGGGGAGAGACACAGAATCTGAGCAGGCTCTAGGCTCTGAGCTGTCAGCTAATAGTCTGATCTTGAGGCTTGAACTACAAATACGCAGATCATGACCTGAGCCAACCAACCAGACGCTCATGGCATTGCGTAATACCATGGCAACCCAAGAATTTTTTTTTTACATTTACCTGTATTTTGATAGAGACAGAACACAGTGGGGGGAGGGCGAGAAGAAGAGAACACAAATCCAGAAAGGATAGGCTCCAGGCTCCGGCTGTCAGCACAGAGCTCAATGCAGGGCTGGAACTCTGATCATAGACTGCTTGAATTACTAGTGTGACCCTGAGCGAGGGAATAGACTATACCAACTGGTGCCCACAGAATTTATTTATTTATTTGTTATTTATTTATTTTTTTTTAAATTTTTTTTTTTTTCAACGTTTTTTATTTATTTTTGGGACAGAGAGAGAAGAGCATGAGCGGGAGGGGCAGAGAGGGAGACACAGATGGAGCAGGCTCAGGCTCCAGAGCCATCAGCCCAGAGCCTGCAGCGGGGCCTGAACTCACCGGACAGTCATGACCCTGGCTGTAAGTCCGGACTGACTTAACCGTGCCACCCAAGCCCTATTTTTTTTAAGTTAACTCTATTCCCACTGTGGGGCTTGAATTCATGACCCCGAGATCAAGAGCCACATGTTCTACTACCTAAGCCAGCCAGGTACCTCAACTGATTAATCTTCACATGAGAGACACAACTAGGCATTATGTGCTTTCAGCACCACCAACAAAATATTCTTGCCAAACAATTAAACCTGATTTACATCAAACCTTTGGATCTCACTACTTTGTAGAAAATACAGAGTATAGATAAACATATGAAAATACAGTGTAGAGATGGCAATTGACCAGATCCAGAATTTGAGATAGCAGAGCAAAGACCTAGTTTTTTGAAGAAGAAAAACTTTTCAAAGGGAAAAGTATGAAGAAAGATCTCCTATATCAAAAGAGAATTAAGACTAAAAGATCTTAAGTCCTAGTTTGCCTGGAATAGTCCTTGTTGACATCAGTTGTTTGGATGTAATTATAACTAAGAGTAGCCCTTTTCACTCTGAAGAGCATCTCAGTTTGGGTGATAAATTATATGTCACCTACTTAAAGGCATATCAACCAAATCTAATGATAAATTCTGATTCAAACAAATGAATTGTGAAAATCATTTCAGACAATTTGTGAAATTTGCACGCTGACTAGACATTTGATATAAAGAAATCAATGTTAAATTTTTTAGATATGAGAGTGGTCTTAAAAAACTCTGAACTCTTAGAGATGTATGCTGAAGTAAATGGATGAAATGATACAGGATTTGCTTTAGAATAATTCTATGGGAAGATGAAGAGGAAGTGGTTAATCTTGTTTGAGCTATACCCCATGTATGGATAAACACTGAGATTGGGTAGTCAATACAAAGGGGTTAATTATACTATTTTCTCTACTTTTGCATGTGTTTTTAAAACTTTACTGTGGAAAATTTCAAAGTAACAGGAAATAATATATTGAATAAAATATTTGACAACTTCGATTTTAATAATGAAAGCTCATTTGCATCATTTACAGGTTGTAAACCAAGGTTGTGAGGCTTCAAGTTCAGAGATTACTGAAAAATTAAATGAACATAAAGCAGCTAATGAGAACCAGCATAATATGTTTTTTGATCAGATAACTACTGATGAAGAAAAATTAATGGCACAAAGTCTAGAATTTAATGAAACCATAAAAATTGGTTTGACTAAGCTTAATTGCTTTCTACAACAGGATCTGAAATTGGATATCCCAACAGGTAATTTCAAAGGGAAATAGAATGGTTCAAATTTTTTTTTTTTTTTTT